AAAAAAAAAAGAAGAAAGAAAATAAAGGTAATTCCTTTACATAACACTGCTCCAAGGAAGGCTTTGTGATTTAAAAAGAGTGATAAAATTTAACTACTAGAAATAAATGGCTTTCACATGGCAAAAAGTGCCGGAAGTGGAGCCAAAAGACAAATGACTTCTATCACAAAGAGTTAATCTCTATTTTTTTAATATCAGAGCTCCAGAAAATAAGAAAAAGCTTAATGGAAAACTGAATAGAAAGATATGCAAAATTCATGAATACCGGGCTCATACAAAGAAACACAAATGGTCCTTCAACATATTAAAAACTTAAACCCAAATCATTATGGCTTTGAGATATATCATTTACCAAACGGGCAAAATCCAAAAATATGATCATACACTATTTTGACAAGGACGAGGAAAGTGGGCCTCTTGCACGTTGCTGGTGGGACGGTAAATCGGTACAGGGGGAATATGGCAATATCTTAATAATTACAGATGCATGTACTCTGTGGCCCACAATTCTATCTCTGAGAATCTATCCTACAGATATATCTGTACTTTTATCAACAGACAAGATACAAGCTAATTCACCACAGTATTGCAGTAATAAAAGATCAGAAACAACCCAGTGCCCAGCCAGTTGAATATAGTATATTATATCTACACAAGGGAATATTATATAGCCATAAAAATGAGGAAGTGCTCTAAGAGCGGATATGAAGAGACTGCCAAGATAAACTGTTGGTAAGACATTTCCCCCTTTTCTACATCTCTGAAATAGGGATCCAACTTACAGTCAATGTGACATGCAAGCGCTGTGTCATTTAATTGGCAACATTAAATAATTTCTTAGTGGTACACATAACAACAGTATACTACCTTAGAGCTAATGAACTAGGACAGTGAATAAAGCAAATATAGATTAGTGAATGCAGTAGGTTACCTGTAACCATCATGTAAAAAGTCAGGAAAGTAAGAATAAATACTCGTATTTGCCCGTATCTGCTCTACTAAAACTGGGAGTGTACTGGGGACGAGGGAATGCAGGAGATGGAGCTAGGTCCAAGTGGGACTTCTTTGTCTATACCTTTCTACGTAATTTTGATTTTTGAACTAAGAAACTATATTACCTATTCAAAGAAAAAAATTAACACACCCACTGAATAAATTATTACCTCAGATAAAGGGGTATGTGAATAAAAATTATTTGGGGGCAGGTATTAATTCAAGAGCGGGAAAATCTACACTGTCCACCTCCACCTTCTTTATCTTTGCAGTCTTGTCACAGAGGTCAAACTCTACATTATGCAGCCCTCGGTTGGTTTACTGTTTTTTTAAACTCAACACAGATCTATTTTTTTTTTTTGAGATGAAACCAAACACACTAAATAAAAATTACTTGTTGAAGTTTGTTTAAAATATTCAATAGGAAAAAGTCCCTTTAAGAAAGATACATGTAGGGACGCCTGGGTGGCTCAGATGGTTAAGCGTCTGCGTTCGGCTCAGGTCATGATCCCAGGGTCCTGGATCGAGCCCCACATCAGGCTCCTGGCTCAGCGAGGAGCCTGCTTCTCCCTCTCCCTCTGCCTCTCTCCCTGCTCATGCTTTCTCTATGTGTGTCTCAAATGAATAAATAAAATCTTAAAAAAAAAAAAAGATACATGTATGCTCTTAGGTTTTGGTTGATTATAAAACTGACCCAACTTGGCAAAAAATCTTCAATGGATTACAACACTGATAATGTTAACAGCAGAAGGGTAGAACTCTAACCCACCCTCCAATTCAGAAAATAATAAAGGAATTAGTATTAGTCAATCAAATTTATTCAATCAGTATTACTCAAGTTTACAGAGGCCTCCTTTCCATTCTGAAAGTTGTTTATGATCTAGGAAGAATAGTTCTTAGAATAAAATGTTGAGGTTTTCTAATCCTATAAAAGTTTAGGATGCATTTCAATCTGAAAGGTTACAAGAGGTATGTGAAAAGTGTCGAAACAAATCACCAGTATACTACACTTTAGATTTTCTGGGGATTTTATTTGCCATTTATAATGTGTAATATATTTATACTGCTATTTTAAACATGTTTTTACAGAAAAAGCAATACAAACTCTATTGTTTCTACAAGGCAGTTCAAAATTTTAAGGGTTCTTAACAGATTTACCCAACTCCAAGAGGACATCCAAGTTCAATAGGTTTGCCCAAAGTCACAATTGTATTAGAAAAAACAAATGGAATTAAAATCAAGTTAGTAAAAAATAAAAATAAAAAAAATCAGAGCTATTTAAATTCCCAGTCCCTTTCCTTAACACAAATCTATTCAAGGAACATGAGAAAAAGACACTGAGCAGCACATCTGAGAGCCTCTCTGGTTCATTCTCAGTGATCTTCTCTAAACTGAAGATGTCTCTGCCTACAAAACTCGATCACACTCCAAACTAATTAGAGTGAAGAGCACCTGCTCAGAACCTGGAATAAAAAGCTTCAGAGAAAGACTTCTCAGTCTAGGAGAATTCAGCCACCAATTTATGGTCATCACAGAGTTGCTGCCTCACCAAGAAGGGAAGAGACACACCAAAATACTCAAAAATTCACTAAAAACAGCAGAGATGCAACTCTGATGAGTCCCTTCAATTCCAGGAATCACCCAAAGGAAAGCCTAACAATGAGGACTCATGGCACCATTATTTACCAGGCAGAGATCAAGGCAATGCAAACATAAGGCTTAGGAGGAAAGTGAGGGCCTGCCACAGGACATGCCATACATATTTTGCCAATATCACATAATAGCAAACATGATAACCCTTTGCCTTTCTTCATGGAGACGACAGTCTAAGGGAACTTAATCATGAATTTAAAAAAGAAACAAAAAAGAAAAAGAAAAATCAGTTATAAATCTAAATAAATTATCAATGGCCACGTAATAAAAGTCATAGTATGGTCAATGAAGATTACAATTCATAATCTCCAAAAAACATTACTTCTGTCTTTATTCAACAAGACCCTTTTTTTAAACCTCTGTATCCCTCCTAGTGCCTAGCACTAAACAAATTCTCAGTGTATATGGAAATACTTAAGGAATTCCATTTCAGTTCCTTTTGCACATTTAATCTCCAGGAAAAGGGATGATTAATAGAAATTTCTAGATACCAAGACAGACTACTAAGTTTGGGATTAAAGCAGATCCTAGAATTAAGATCAAGAGCTATAATCTGTATTTATCATAAAACTTTTAAAAGTTGAGCTTTACTCTGAGTACAAAATTTAAATAATAATCTCACCCCCATCCCAAGCAACTGCATTTACCTTAGCCATGACTTCTGGATCTGGTTCTTCCACAGGGTCAGCCCATTCAACTGTAACTACATTTCCCCATACTTTTACTTTTCCACTCATCAGCCGGCGTCTGGCTTGTGCTGCTGACTTGTGATCCTCATATTCAAGGAAGCAGAACCCCCGATTCTTCTTTTTGTCATCGGGTTGATGATAGAGAATAACGTCCACCAAACCCTCTGTTAAACCAACAGCCAGATATATAAGCCAAAAGCATCCACCACACATCTAGCGATTAGGCAGACCTAAATCCATTTGCCGAAGAGCAAAAAATATTGAAGAAGCCTCAAAATGATTCCCTAATTACCTAGTAGACAATTAAATCAGCATTGTTAGATATGGATTGTGAAACAATATTTTACGTTTCTTTTTAATTTTGGGGGGGTCCTGAGGGTACAGCCATAAACAACAGGTCTACTGTATTCTGATGTATAATTCTACCACGTTTTAGAGTGTTTGATACAACATGACCTTGTAATTTATAAAAACACTACCAAGGAATTTAAAAATCAAATTATTAATATTAATTGAAAAGAACTTACATTCAACCAAGTAATCATGACCAAAAATCATCCTTGGATCTAAATTAAAAGTTACTGTTTTTACCAAGAATGAAAATGATTGCTGGGGCACCTGGGTGGCTCAGTTGGTTAAGCGTCTGCCTTCAGCTCAGGCCATGGTCCCGAGGTCCTGGGATCGAGCCCCACGTCGAGCTGCCCGCTCAGCAGGGAGTCTGCTTCTCTCTCTCCCTCTTCCTCTGCCCCCCACCCCCAGCTCATGCTGACTCTCTCGTGCTCTCTCTCTCAAATAAATAAATAAAATCTTTAAAAAAAAAAGAAAATGATTGCTAAATATTGGTGTCCCCCTGTTCTTAGTCCCGTGTTCTCATCTTTCCACACATGTTCTTTCTAGGCAGTATCAGCTAGTTTGTATTTTTAAAAGCTATCTATATCCTTAAGAATGCTTACATTTTATTTCTAGTCCAGACTTAAAGACATTTCAAATTTAGCCATGTCCAAAATTGCAGTTACCGCTCCCCAAATCTGTCTTCTCTACTTCCCTAATAAACAGTACCATCTCCTGGTTCTCAAGCCAGAAACTGAAGACTCATTCTTGATTTCTTCCTTTACTTTCTTTCCTTTATTCCCCTACCCAATTCAGAGCCCATCTACTTCTTTCCACCTTCACAGCTATTACCCTAGTCCAATCTTCTATCCAAATTACTGTGATAGCCTCAACTAATTGATTAGCTTCTACTCTGAAGCCCCTCTAAACCATTATCCATATGGCAGTAGAGATAATATTCTGTAAACATGAAACAGACGTTACTCCCTGCTTGAGATCTTTAAATACCTTCTCATTCTACAAAAATTAAATCTAAACTCCTTACAAGGTCCACAAAAGCCTTGCCTACTTCATCTAATTCTACAGTAATTTTAACAACACTGGCCTTTTCTCAGTTCCTGTAATACACCAAGTTCTTTCTTGCCTCAGAGACTTAGCATGTGTTGCTCTCTTGGAATGCACATCCCTCTGCTCTTTGTTATGCTACATCCTCCTCATTCTTCAGGTCTTGCTTGAAATGTCATCTTATCAGCAAAGCCTTCCATAACCATCAAAAGAGGGATAATAGCTATTCTCTAGCTAGTATCCTTTATTTCCCTCTTCTTAGGGCTCACCACAACGTGTAAATATTTCTTTAATGTTTTTTTGTCTTATCTCCTTTCCCAGAATGTAAGCTCTACAAGGGCAGAAAATAGATCTTATTCACCATTGTATCCCAGCACATAACACAATGCCACCACTTTAACAGGCACTGGATAAACACCTGCTGAAGGAATGAATAAACGGGTAAGAAGTCAGAAAGGAGCTGATAGGTAATAAAGTGATGAGGTCAAAGAACTGCACCATCTGGAGCCTGTGACCAACACAACTGTGATGGATAGTGGCAGTGGTTACAAAGCAGAACGCTAGAAATCAAGATTTTGGAGTGGGTAGAATTTCTGGCAGCAAGATCCAGAATGTGATCTGGATGTGGGGGAGCTGAAGTAAAGAACTGGAGATGAGGTGGTCATAAAACTAGGAGGCTAGGGGACTGGACAGTCATCCATGTACATACATGTTAAAGGTACTACAAATCAGTCAATTTAGGACAGAAGAGGAAGACTATGAGCCAAAAGCAATCTTCAATTAATGAAAGACTGAATCCAGAAAGGCAATAGATGACAGCATCAAGGAAGGAGAAAGGACAGTTTATCTGGAGGACAAAAACATGGCTTTTATGAGGGGAAGTAATGGTCTAAATCAGTGTTTTTTAGACCATAAGTAGAATGAGTATATCTCTGCCCACATTTTAAAAAAATGAAATGGGGCGCCTGGGTGGCTCAGTTCGTTAAGCGACTGCCTTTGGCTCAGGTCATGATCCTGGAGTCCCTGGATCGAGTCCCGCATCGGGCTTCCTGCTCGGCAGGGAGTCTGCTTCTCCCTCTGACCCTAACCCCTCTCATGTGCTCTCTCTCAAATAAATAAATAAATTCTTTAAAATAAATAAATAAATAAATAAATAAAATGAAATGGAACAGGAAAGATCACACTAAATCATGTAAAATAAGTGAAAGTACAGTTCTGTTAAATTTTGTTTCAGTTATAAATGTATACAGACCTGTGATGTAAAATGTACTTCTCAATCAACTCCATGGATTTAGAATTGGAAATTTTGAAAAATCTGATCTAGACAACGCAACAGGAAGGAGGAGGAGAAGAACTCTCATCCTCTTGGCCCTAAAACACGCTGAATGTTGGCAAGCCTTCACTGGAGGGCTACAAGGCAAAGACTCCGGCAAAAGCTAAGGATCAATTAAGGCACAGAAGTAAGGGGACATTCCAAGAAATTAAGGATATAAGGGAACATGCTTAGACCAAACTGCTGTAAAGCAGAAAGGAGGCAATTCAGACACTGAAGATTTAAATTTTTAGATTAATATACACTTCCTTTTTTTGTACTTATAAAACAGTACCACATATTTCCCAAAACTAACTTCTACTAAATACATTTTTGTTTTACCTGTGACTTTACTGAATTCTTCCAGAATGTTTTCCTTGGTCTTATTCTTCGGAATTGATCCAACAAAAAGCCTGTTGTTTGCCACAGAAATGCACACTCCAAGGTGTTTACCAGGGCGAATTTCATAGCTGTCACACTGCAAGGAAGAAAAGAACCAGATACCCCACAACCATCCCAAACTCAGGACAACTGATCTCAACCTAAAAAATTCAACAATATAAGGTCAAACACTTCCTGCTTCACAAACTCACCGAGTTCCCTCATGCTTACCATTATAAAAATGTGTATTTTAAACCTTGTTACGGTCTCTCACCTTAGTTTGGTTTTGTTAACTTTCACTGCTCTTCTGGATATAAATGACTCAGTTATTCACTTTATTTTTAAAAACACCTTATGCCATATTTCAATGTTATCTATCTGAAAAATTTTCCAGAGAATTTCAGAAAAAGTACCCAAGACTGATCATTCAGGATTCTTGGAGATAAAATTAGATGCACATAAGCCAAAAGCAAAATAACAATAGTCAACAACTATGTGTAATCAATAAAAAGAAATTCAGAAGAATTTCACATTCTACACAAAACACAGTACTCTGAACGTATACATGAAAAGTTTTAAACTGCACATCAAACACAATACCTTCAAAATTATATGACATGACAGGAAATTAAAAAGGCTTTATTTAAATCACTATGGTGATAGTTTCCTTGATAAACTTGAGCTTGTTAGACTTTCACATTACTTACCCATTAGCTTACTAAAAGATATGTGATTATTAAAAAATAAAAATCTCCATACATTGCCAAAAATGAGGAAATAAGGCTTTGAAAATTTCTCAGGAAAAGCAAGTTGGAAGGAAAAGTTCTTAATAAAAACTAAAATCTGGGTCAAGCTAGAAGTGGAACTAATTTAGAAGTGATTAATGAAACCAAAAGCCCTGGTGAAAGGATACCCATTCTAGAAGGATTGGAACGAGACAAAGCGAAGCTTTTAAATGTCTGGCAAGAGTAAGCAAAAACAACGACACGGTTATTTTAAGTTACTGACATAGTTGTACCAACACAGGCGTGAAGGCATTTCTCCTTTGCAGAACTCGTTACGACTCCTACCGCTACTCGCAGCAGTACTACTGTGCCACTAAGCACAAAGGGTGAAAGGAAACTACTAGATGACAGAAGACGGGCTATAAAATAGTGAAAAAGGAGAGAAAGACTGAAGGCAGAGGAGACTGAAGGGCCTGAAAACAAAATATAGAAAAGAACAGGCATATACTTAGAAAATAAACTGTATGATTAGGTTGTGACAAAAAGAAGAGTCTCAATCATTTCCTGAATTGTGTCCTAAAAGTCACTGTCACCCAGTTATGTTCCCCAGAATCCATCCCAGCCTTCATTACACTTTTAAGAATCTTGTCCTAAAGTTTAACAGTAACAATTCACACCTTTTTTGCCTAAAATCCAAAGAGAAAACTGCAGAAGCCAAATATTCAAATGAAACTTTAGATACTAACCAATCTAATAAATAACTTAATAGAATTATGGAAGACTTTCTCTAACACATTATTTCTTGGGTATTTTCATTCCGTTTTACTTTTATAATCAGAAAAAATAGAGCAAAGGTCACATATCAACTTTACCAACATCTAACCATGCAAAGAAAAAAACTAAAGAAAATGAAACAATGTTAACTGCAAACATTTTTAACGGAGATGATTTGCCACTAGACAGTGGTATTTGTTTATCACATACCAGTTTAACAGCCTCCTGTGCAGCTTCCTTTCCACAGAAGGTGATAAATGCATACCCTCTGTTCTGACCAGACAGTGGATCCATCATAAGACGTAGATCCCAAATGGGACCAGCCTTTTCAAAAAGGGGTACCAACTCATCCTCATATAAATCTCTTGGTATTTTACCTACAAAGACCTGAAATAAAATCTCTGTATTAGAACCCCAATGTAAGCATTTTAGAGCCATAAAGCCTAACAACCTTTCTTCTAAGGGGCTACGGGCACAAAGATAAGGAGGAATGAGGACAATTTGAATCTTTAGGAGTTAACCCTAATGTTTATTATCATGACCTTAGGGTCATTAACACAGAACAATATTCTATACTGAAAAATGGAAAATGATTAAGAGTGTGCAAAATCTGTACAAACAACTCTAAATTTTTTATTTTTATAGTTTCACAAAAACACAGAATAAAGGATACATGTATGTATCTTTGGGAAATATACCTGCATTTTTATAAAAACAATAACTGAATAAAGACTGTAGTGGTCTTCCTCAAGTTTTCTCGATTCTAGGGGTGCCTGGGTGGCACAATCAGTTAAGTGTCTGACTCCTGATTTTGGCTCAGGTCATGATCTCAGGGTCGTGAGATTGAACCCTGTGGCAGGTTCCATGCTCAGCATGGAGCATGCTTAAGTTTCTCTTGCCCTCTGCCCCGCGTGCGTTCTCTCTCTCTTCCTCAAATATATAAATCTTAAAAAAATTACTAAAAAAAATTATGTAATAAGGATTAAATATACAATAAATTAAAACTAAACAATCAAAAACCTTCTCAGTATTTAATATCAGACCACAATTTCTTCAAGCTTCCACCACATTGGCAACATTAAAGACAATCTTTTACGTTAAAACATTTGCAATCCACATGCAGTCTTTTATTTAAAGATTTATTTATTTGAGAGGGAGAGAATCTCAAGCAGACTCCCCACTGAGTAGGGAGCCAGACACAGGGCTCGATCTCACAACCCTCAGATCATGACCTGAGCCAAAACCAAGAGTCGGACACTTAACTGACCGAGCCACCCAGGCATCCCGACACGCAGCCTTAAAGAATTAAGTCAGTGTCTGCATTTGAGATGAATTTTTTTTTTTTAAGATTTCATTTATTTATTTGTTAGAGAGAGAGAGTGCGCTCACGCAGGGCGAGCAGCAGGCAGAGGGAGAAGCAGGCTCCCTGCTGAGCAAGGAGCCCAATGCGGGGCTCGATCCCAGGACCCTGAGATCATGACCTGAGCCGAAGGCAGACACTTAACGACTGAGCCACCCAGGCGTCCCTAAAGATGAATTTTCTAGTGAAACTCATCTACATCAACGTTTCATATTCTGAAAAATGACCTGATTAATGAAACAGCAATCCAAAAGATGGCCAAATTATTACTGGATATTACGTTTCTGACATTAAATTAAGCTCTATAACTGTGCTAAGACAATCCTTTTCAAAATAATTAGATTTACCTTCACTGCTGTCTGGTAAAACTCCTTTTGAATCCCTAGCATAATTTTCACATAACAGCTATTCAATCCTTCCGTCTCTAGTCTCCAATCCTCATTCACTAAGTCATTCCAAGGAGATCATGTGTGAAAGGCAGTGGTTTCCTCATATTCTTTCCTCTCAGCCTTAAATACATTCTCAGAATCTATTTCTATTTCTTTATACCGCAGAAAAAGAGATTTATTTCCTTTCCAAGGTTAACTCCTTAACCTTAGTAATAACAAAGCCCATTTCTTCACACCACCTTCTCCTGGAAATAATTGCAAACTTTCATTTCTTTGACTCTCCAGTTTTGCTAAGTACATCCTTCCAAACATGTCACATCTCCCATAACAAAACAAAACACAAACAAGAAATATTTACCCATTTATCTTTCCTTTCACTTTCAAATGCTTTGAACACATGGCCATGTCTTTTATTTCACTCATGCAGTTATTCAACCCATCTACCATATCCTTAGTACCGTGCAGCTACAAAGTATAAGACATCTAAGGCATCATCTGTGCAATATCCCTACAGAACCGTATTTCTAACAAAAAACTCACTCTGGAGAGCCTTTGGCATCTATGCTCTCTCTTTAACTACAACACTGGCTTCTTCCACTAACACTAAGCTGCATACCCAAATGTCACTAATGGACTTCAAATGACTAAATTCAAGTCTTTTTTTCCTCAGTCTCATCTTGCCTTCTCGGTAAGCAACAACATTGGTGATGCTGCCTCCTACAAATTCTCTTCCCTTCAATTTTTACAATCCTCCACTAGCCTGGTCTTTTTACCTTTAATTATTTCCCTATCCTTTCCATGGTGATTCTCCTACTCACCTAATAACAGTCTGCATGTTTCCCAAAGTTATGGCTCTATTTCATCTTCCCTGTATTTCCTTCACTTCCAAAGATCATATCCATTCCCCAAGTCTATACCTATTTAGTCATCTCTCACATCTCCATCCTAAGACCTAATTTTATAATTCCAACTGCATTTGGAAGCATTTCCTCTTGGTTGTCCTAATTTTACCTCAAATCATCAATAAATAGCAATGTCATTTTTTTGTTTTTTGAATATAGATGCATATATAGATATGAATGACTGTGTATGTGAATAGTACTAATAGTGATGTATCAATGCATGAAAAAACTGTTATAATTTTATTTTTTCTTTATTTCCTGAGTATTCTACCATAGATGTAATAGATTTGTAACAAATGTTTCTTTTTTCCAAAAATCAAAATAAGTAAAACCCACCCTTGTCAACCAGTTCCTTTGATTTTCCTCATTTCTCTTGGGTAACATAATTTCTGCTGCTCCCTCCACCCCCCAAGATCACCAAGGAAATAATACTTTTATAAACTTAAATCTCAGCTATTTTGAATCCCTCCCATTCCTATCCATACCCAATTAATCTTCTAAGTATCAGCCTGAAGTTGTTCCAATAAATAATACCTAGCCTACATAGCAACTGACTTCCAACCTACTCATAGAACTTGTCCAAACTTTTCATGAGACATGGAATTCCATATACCTCGAACTCATATGCTATGTATTTTTCTAAGTTCTAGAGATACAGTGAATACCACAAACAAGGTCTAAGCATTCATGAGGCTTATATACTATTGATAGAGACAAAAGCTAAAAAAAATAAATACGATTTCAAGAGGTATTAAAGGCTAAGAAAAATAAAAGCAAGGAAAGGGAATAAATGAGGAGGAAGAGGTTGTTTTTTAGTTAGGAGGGTCTCCCTAAAGAGGTAAATTTGAACTGAGATCTAAGGTAGAAAATTAAGTAAAAATCTGAGGAAAGAGCACCCCAAGGTAAAGAACAACTAGGAAAAGATGGGAATACACTTGATGTATCTGATGAACAGCAAACAGGACAGTGACTGGAAGAAAAGACCCACATAGGAGACAGTGTCGGGAAAGAGAGAAGAGGGGCCAGATTAAGTTAAACCATGTTAGGAGTTTCCATCTTATTCCAAATGTGTTGGGAAGATATCAGAGGGTTCTGAGCAGACAAGTGACTAGGTATGACATGTTCTAAAGGGCTGGCAAATAGGTAGAAGATGGACTGTATGGAGAAACAGGCTGCCCAGTCAGGTTCACAAGGCAATCTAGGCAAGGGATGACAGCGGCATGAAGTAATGGGTTGATAGCTTGAAGGCAGGGAGAATGTGAGAAATCGTTAAGTTTTAAGTTATATTGGGTTCAGATCTACATTTTAGTTACTTTGAGCAACTTAATTAGTGAATTTCAGTATCTTCATCTGGGAATAACATCATCCAAAGGGTTCAATGTCCATGTGAGCAGAGAGCCCAAATCTTGTTCCTCATTTTATTCCCAACTTGAACACAGTGCCTGAAACATAATAGCTGCTTATCTTTGATTAATGTTCAAAAGATCATCTACCTCATGCTGTTAACTTAACACTAGATCCCATCCCTTCTCTTCCACTCAAGGACACATGGTCCAGCAACAATTTGATCATTAGCACACAAGTGATTATAATTTCTCACTTAAAAAAATGTTTTTAAGGGGCCCCTGGATGGCTCTGTCAGTTGGGCACTGGACTTAAAATTTTTTTTTTAAGATTTTATTTATTTATTTGACAGAGAGACACAGCGAGAGAGGGAACACAAGCAGAGGGAGTGGGAGAGGGAGAAGCAGGCTTCCCGCTGAGCAGAAAGCCAGATGCAGGGCTCGATCCCAGGACCCTGGGATCATGACCTAAGCCGAAGGCAGACACTTAATGACTGAGCCACCCAGGCGCCCCTAGACTTAAAATTTAAATGAAAACAAAAATACATCTTGACTATGACACACCTTCCAGTTATTATCCCATTTCTCTACTCTTTTTAGCAAAATTGCTCAAAAGAGCTGTATGTACTTCGTATCTCAAATCCCTTGCCTCCCACTCTCTTGAATCCTCTCCAAATATGGCTTTCACCACCATTCTTGTCAAAGTCACCGATGACATCCATGTTGCCAGATTCAAATGTCAATTCACGGTCCTCTCTTACTTGGAAAGTTTGTTGTAACCAACCACCTTCCTTCTGTGAAAACTCCGTATTGGCTGGACTTCTAGGATACCACACCCCTGATTTTTCTCTTACCTCATTGGTTCTTTCTGCTCAGTTCCCTTTGCTAGTTCCTTCTCATCTCTCCAATCTGTAAATGTAGAGGGCTGCAGGGATCAGATTTTAGACCTTTAGTCTATCTACACACACTTCCTTGGTGATCACATCCAAAACTCATGGTTTTTAAATACCAAGTAGATGCTTATGCCTCCCACATTTATAATCTCCAGCCAAAACTCTTCCCTGAACTCCAGGCTTATAGAAGTAACTGCTCATTCAACAGCTCCACTTAGAGGTCTAAGAGACATCTAATTCTTAACATGTCCAGAACTGAATTACGATCTTTCAATCCTGCTAATCTGCCCTTCTCTACAGCATTCTTCATTTCAATAAATGGCAACTCCAACCTTCTAGCTGCTCAGGTCATACGCCTTGAAGTCATCCTTGGCTCCTTCCTCTCATACCCCCATATCCAACTCATCAATAAATCCTGTTAGATGTGCCTTCAAAATATCCAGAATCTGACCACTTCTCACTAGCCTCAGCTTATCAATCCTATAAACGAACATTCATAACAGGGCACAGCGCTAAAAAAACTACGGATAAAAGATGTCCTGAGACAAAATAAATATACAAGGATAATCGGTATTCGTTTTGAAATGTATTTTTTGGTGTGGCTAAGCTCTCTGGCCCAGTCGGACAGTGTTTTTGTACTTGAGGGTATTTGTATTTGAACATTTAAAAACTGTTCTGGGAAGCAAATTCTGCTTCATACTACTTCCATTAACATAATGCAATGGTGCTTCATAATTACATTATTCACTAACCCTATTTCTTCCATACCCATTATAAAAACACATAAAGCAAAGAGCACATAAAGTGGCACTGTGAAAATACACCTGACACACAGCTAAGTGAGGAAGCTAAGTGCCAGGTTATTACACTACTTATGTAACACTTGTGCCTGTATTTTTAGAACAGACAGGTTTGCCTCCTTAAGCAAACCTAACGTGAAAAACCTGTATTTTCAGAAAAAGTAATTTAATGATTGTTTAATCACTTTACATACAGGATTCATAAGAGCCAAGTTCCTTGTATACTCCAAAGTATCATTTGAATGTTAGAAGTCCAACTTACAGATTTTCCATAAGAATACTGTTTTACTTTAGAAGAAACATCAACAAATCTGTGGTCAACAAAGTCCCCAATATGATAATCCCTGGGATTCAAGAAGAAACAGGCTAAAAATACTGATTTACTGAGAAGCCGGAGATGGCTTCATTTCAAGATCAGTTTAACCCAGGACATATAAGTAACTTAAAAAGGCGAAAAATAAACAGCATTCAAAACTAAGCATGATTCCTTTAAAAGTTTCTAAGCTCAATTTTTAATTAACTAAAATGAAATAAAACTGTTCTCCTTTTATGAATTCGTTGGTCCCTGAGCCATTCTGGCTCCGTATGAACTGTGTGGAGTAAGCCCGCAGGCATACATGCAGGTGAGCCTCCCCGCCCCCGCCCCTATTAGACCCACAGAATCTAATGAATACCCTAACAACCAGTTCTTTCTTTACTCACTAAGCATCAAGGCTTGAAAAAGTTTTGGCTGTCTACTATCTAACCATCAAATACTTCAACAGTAATAGAGAAAGCCCTTTGAGGCTCTGGAAGGAAGAGAGTTAACAGGCAGTGCAACATAGTCTTTTGAGCATCTACTAGGGCTCTTCCCTTATCCAGCTCCTATTTGCTACTTTGCAAACACAGCAGCTTTTCCTCATACGTAAGTCCGTTCAGGTACTACTAAGTCATATACTTTTACATCTCTGTTAAATACACAGGTTCTCTAACACTTCCATTAGTTAAAATACCAAAGAATTAAATTTCAATCGACCATTTCCTTTGAATTCCTCTACAAAACACCAGTGCTGTGCTCTTTAAAAAGATAAGTGCTTATTATATTGGAAACAAATAAAAACAGAGGCTGCTTCCCCAAACAGTTTTACAATGCCAGCTGAAGAATACAAAGATACTATAAGCAGACTAGACCTGAGGGCCCAGACACACTAAAAAATACACTTCAAAATTAATACCTAGCTTTCTTATATATTTCTTATCTCAGGACAATGCTTAGAAACAATGCAAAGGAGTGCTCCTTTATAGGATTAATTTACAGTAGATTTTACCAAGATGAAACCTCGGTCTTCTCGTAACTTTAATATTGTCAGACTCAGGCACGGACCCTCACTTCAACTTCCTCAATCAAGACCTAAAATTTTTTAATGACTGTAGTGAAATATAAAAGAACAACTTAAACCTCACAGCATCAAAAATGACACCAACTAAAACCAATTTATTTATTAAATCAGCAACCCAATATATTAAAAACCTATTTTTCTGATTTTTTAAAAAGTAATTTTAGGGGCACCTAGGCGGCTCAGTTGGTCAAGCGTCCCACTCTTGGTTTTGGCTCAGGTCATGATCTCATGGGTCGTGAAGTTGGCTTGAAGATTCTCTCCCTCTGCCCCTCCCCCACATGCTCTGGCTTTAAAATAAGTAAATCTTTAAAAAAAAAAAAAAAACAGTACTTTAATTTTTAACAAATATAGGCCAAATCTCATGGAATTTAACTTTATGGGAAGAATCCAAACCTTTACACTAAGATTTTGTTGTAACGAACTGCTTGACAGGAGTGGCTTAGGCTCATATAGGGATTTCACGGCAAAGTTATTTGCTGTATGCGATGGTATCTAATATATAGGAAAATGCATCTTTCTCCTAAAGACACAATGCAATGTAAGAGAATATGCATATTTTATAATTAGGATACCAACTTTGTTTCTAATTGGATACTCAAAATAGTTTATCCTATTAAACTGTTTAAATACTTTCAGCGAAATGTGAAGAGTACTAACTCCTTTCTTACCTATATAAAACAAGTCTCCATTAATGAGCTCAATAAAACCAATCTAATGGGCTAAAAAAGTTCATTTTTATAATTATGAAATAGATACAACCAACTAATTTGATACTAGGCTATACTGGGCATTGGAAAGAACATTAACAATATTATACAGAGTTAATTTTTATTCCTAAGGATTTTATAACTAAAGAAACAAGACTAAGATGAATGTAGTAACTGATAAATACTAATGAGGGTATCACATGCTGAATGGTATACTACAGATAACTTTTTCAAACATACATATTTCCCTCTTGTAGGCTGCCTCTAAATAAGAAGTGAAAGAGTAATTGTATTTATTTTATATGAGGGTTTTAGGTAAGAAAATTTAAAACCATTCAGAAAAAAAATACCTATGACGTAGTTCAAGTAAGAAAGTTGAACTATATTTCTATATTGTTTAAAAGTTAATAGAATGTAAATGTAGATTTGAAAGGGTTCACAATCTAACTAGAACATTAAAAATGAAGGACGGCTTGAGGCACCTGGCTGGCTCAGTCAGTAGAGTGCAACTCCTGATCTCAGGGTTGTGAGTATGAGCCCCACGTTGGTACAGAGATTACTTAAAAATAAAAAATCTTTTTTTTTTTTTAACGATTTTATTTATTTGCGAGAGAGCGAGCGAGTGCACAAGCAGGGGGAGCAGCAGGGAGAAGGAGAGGGAGAGGGAGAAGCAGGCTCCCCACTGAGCTGGGAGCCCAACGTGGGGCTCGATCCCAGGACCCTGAGATCATGACCTGAGCCGAAGGCAGACGCTTAACCGACTGAACCACCCAGGCGCCCCATTAATAAATAATCTTAAAAAGAAAAAAGACCAAACTACTACTCACTTGTATACTATGTTTCAATGACATTTGCTCCTATAACAAACTTAGATGGCTCACAGTCCAATTCTAACTCTACAATAATTATGCAACATGAAATAATTTATAGTTTTTTTTAAGAGACTCAAAACAATAATACATAGCTGATTTAGGTTATCATGAAAAATAAAAATGCTTAGAGTCCCTTTTAATACCACTAAATATTAAGAAATAGAATATTAACTATAATAATGCTTGAAGGAAGTTCAGGGCACAAAGACCAATGAATGTAAACTCTATTCTATACAGAGAATACACTGGAATTACTTCTGATATAAATCTAAAAAGTTAGTTAACTGGTGACGTCTTATTTCACAAACTAGAAATAATAATCTTTTCTTTTGGCTACCTGAAAGACACCAGAAAGAAAAGACCTTGCTGTACACTTATATTTTGGCACACAGTTTTTACCATTTAAAGGATCAGAACTGGTGGGGCGCCTGGGTGGTGCAGTGGGTTAAGAGCCCAACTCTTGGTTTTGGCTCAGGTCATAATCTCAGGGTTGTGACATCAAGCCCTCCATCAGGCTACGCACTAGCACGGGAGTCTGCTTGGGACTTTCCCTCTCTCTACCTACCCCCCTCCCCATGCGTGCATGTGAGCGTGCACTCTCTCTCTAAAATAAATAAATCTTAAAATAAATAAATAAAGGATTAGAATTGTCTAACACAAAGGTATATGAAGAAACCTTTATGAAGGCACAGATGGAGCAGAAATTGCTTCTTTGTTCAATGACAGACCAATGTACTCGATCAACCTTTTATCTGATCCTACATCCTTTCCTTGTGTGACCCACTCCCATCAATAAATCTCTCAGCAAATACTGAGTACCTTTTATGTGGTGGGAGGAGGATCAAGGAGGGACGAGGGTCAAGGAGGGACGAGGGTCAAGGAGGGAGGACAAGAGCTGTTCAGAATTACGGACATAAAACAAAAAAAGAATAAAGCAACTGTTTCTTTTTAGGAACCTCAACCCAAGCACCTAAAATGGTGTGTTGCTGGTTGCATGATTTTAGCAACCAGTTCCAAGAACTCTACATTCCTTTACAGAGTGTTTGGATATCTACTAGTCACATGGTTCTCCTTGCTTAGGACTATAGTAAAATACAAATGGATATCCTAAGAAAATAATTATAGCTACACTTTAAAAAGAATCAACTACTCTTCCCCATCATACAATAGACAGAATAATTTACAAACTGGAAAGATTTCAGCAAACAGCCGAAGAACACTTACTTCTGTTCCAATTCCGGGTTGTACACCAGAGTACACACTGTCTGGTGGAGGACCACCATACTTCCTCTGTCCTGTGGTTACATCCAGAGTATAGCCAGTCCTCTCAAGCAATGCCTAAAGATAATTATACATCTGTTTATACTTGAATATTATATCACACATCAGTATATTATCTTTTCCAAAAGATACCCCAACATCCTAGGCTATGTATCTTAGGTAAAATAACGTCAAAATTCCCACTGGTATCACTCACACGTGTTGCTCCCACTTCATTTTACTGCTCCTTTCCATACATTTAATGGAAAGAATTGTAGACAAATTAAATCTCTAAGCACACAATTTTTTGATATGAATGAGAACAGAAAAACGGGGCAGATTATTACAAATGTGACATAAGCTGACCCCAGGCTACCTATTCATATTTCTATACTGCAGTAGTCCTCGTTTTGCATTCTCCTCTACTTCAATGAGAGCTTTCCTTAACTTGTTCCCTTTACATACCAGCTACCTACCTGTGATTCTTTTCAAATAAAATGTTCTCTAATCAGAAGTCCTACCTCCTACATGCAGCTTCTCTCATTCACTATTCCTCACATCTTCCTGTGACTTTCTATTAGTCAAGTAATTTAACCTTTATTTTGTTTAATCCTTTTGTTTTGTACTTCTGCTAGATCATAAGCTCTATAAGAACCAGACCATTTCTCATACAACACAAACTCAAAATATTTGGCAATTACCAAATGAGTATACTCAGGTTTCAAAAGACAAAACCTTACGTTTCCTGACTACCAACCTTCTTCACAACATTATATTAGGTATTAAAGAGGGACTGTAGAAAAGGTAATGTTCTTGCCCTTAAGGGTTTGTATTTATATGAGAGGCCAACAGCACAGACACAATGGAAAAAAAAATGCAATCTACCTAAAAAGGGGAGAATTTTACACTTCATGTTTAAAAATCAGATGGTCCCCAACTTGCGATGACTCAACTTACGATTTTTCGACTTCAGGATGGTATGAAAGTGATACGCATTCAGTAGAAACCACACTTCAAATTTTAATTTTTGATCTTTTCCAGGGCTAGCAATATGCAGGACAATACTCTCATGATGCTGGGCTGCATCAGGGAGGCTCAGCTCCCAGTCAACCACTCAATCACAAGGGTAAACAACCAATACACTTAGAACCATTCTGGATCCATACCAATCACTGTTTTTCACTGTCAGTACTGAACTCTGTATATTACACGAGACATCCAACACTTCGCTATAAAATGTGCTTTGTGTTAGAGGTGATTTTACCCATCTATAGGCTAATATACGTTTTCTAAGCACATTTAAGGTAGACTAGGCTATAATGTTTGGCAGGTTAAGTGTCATTAGGTATACTTTCGACTAAGGATATTTTCATCAATGTCCAGATAAACCCATCCTAAGTTGATGAAGATCTATACACAATGTCAAAACAACAAGAGATTTTAGACATCATCAAGTTTAGTGGCTTCAAAAGTATTGCTGGAGGAACCCTGGGATTCCAGAGTTACCTTAGGGTCTCTATTTTTCTACCTTTGACTCAAAAAGAGCTGCTCTAATTTTAAGCACAGAAATACATGTAATATATAATATACATACAAAAAATGTATTACATATTTAAACATTACTTGTCTAATATGTAATATACACATATCACATATACAATATATACTTATCAAAAGCAAATATCCACTTTTGGGGAAATAACACAGGCCTATTCAATACACACTAGTAAGTTTATGTCAAATGGAATTTTCATGTATTTATTTTAAAAATACAAGAATAGGTTATGCCATTTTACAGATGAGGGAAAAGGGTACAAAGGAGCTCTACGTAAACTATTATATGACAGGAACTACAAGTTCTACTTCCTGTCTAAAACAAAACTGTACAAACAACTTCATTAAATAAAATATTTCAATTTGAGAAGTCTATCACTGTGGCAAAACGTCAATATCCCCTTAACTAAGGAATGAGGTTCACTAGTCTTTCACCAAAAGCCCTATATTTATCTTGCAGAGTAGTTGATCTAAACAATAATAATAGTAATTGGTGCTAGTTACACAGTTCTTGCCACATTCCAGGCATTATTCTAAGCACTTGACATATCTTAATTCCTTTAATCCTCATAACTCTATGGGAATAGGTACTATTACTATGCCCAGTTTACAAATAATGAAACTGAGATAAACAGAAATTCAGGAGTAAAGCAGTTATAAAACACCTCTTCACCAAAAAAAAAAAAAAAAGAGAGAAAGAGACAAAGTGCTTATTTAGAAAGAAACCAAACCAAGAGACATGACTTGAGTCAATCTGAAAAGCTATTATCAGAAGCATCAATAACCATGTATCATTCACAGCCAGAACAAGTAATGAGGCAAGGGTCTGAATTAGGGTTTTTCACCAAACATACAACTGAATGTTTGCCCCCCAAATTCTTGTGTAATTTACCTTAAATTATCTCATTCCTAAACACTAGCTTAAAAAAAAAAAGTGGAACAATGAAAACTGTTTCTAGGAAATATGAAAAGAAACATTCAATCTCATCATTAAACTTATTACCATTACAAAGACCCGAGTCAAGTTTTACCTTGATCTTTGCTTCATCAGGCCCCTTTGTGGACTCTTGCACCTTGCTCCCTTGTTTCTCCCTTTGCCTGTAGGTCTTCATAACTCCACATAAAAATGCACTCTTGTTCTAGAACATACAAGTAATTCAATGAAAAGGAATCACCAGGAATCATCGAAGGGTCAAATATGTAATTAATTTACAATTTCAAAAGACCAGAATTTTAACAAAATATTTACTCATTTATTCACTCAACAAATACTTGCTGAGTGGTTACTATGTGCCAGAGACTGGAGCAGACCACAATAAGACAGCCAAGACCTCAGGGAGCTTACCTTCCACACTGGCAAAACAGTCTTCCATTTGTTGATATTCAAATGCATCTGGACTATCTTTGCCAGACATTCCAAAACTATTCCTCCTACCTACATTATTTTCCTCCAAGATAATAAAACAGGATCAGATAACCCAAAAATGTTTAAAATCTGAGTAACCTAAACCCATAAAAGCCTAGTAATAACAATCAGCAAACCCTGACTTTGATTTTGAGTTTTTAAAGTAACTTACTGCAAAGAAGTGGGGAGAGATTTTACTTTACAGTTGTGTTTCTGAGAACTCTGCCAGAAAAGGTCTTTTTTTTTTTTTTTTTAACAGAAGCAGAGGTAGTCACAAAAAAACATCACTTCTCTTCAAAAAAAAGTAATGGTAAAGTAATTTCTCATCATCAGTTGTTCAAAGGCATTTCTAGTTAATGGCCTTACCTGAACATGTGATAAGTCACTTTCCTTGAACTGCTGTAGTACAGACAGAGCTCCTTCTTCATTAAATTCCCTGAGAGCATCAATTGCTCTTTCATCAAGATCGACATAAGCTACCAATCCTAAAAATTAAATTGAGAAGGGGTAATGTTATTGCAACAAAAGGGATAACCTAACTGTGCTATCAATGTTTAATCAAGAATTGTTATATTCAGTACTATTACTAACAAACTACATTTTCATTTAATATGCACATAGGAAGCTATACAAATACTACACAAAAAGGTCAAGAGTACAAATATGAAAATAAAAGATAAAATGTCAAACATGAATTTCAATCCCTATAAACATGAATTTCAATCCCCACATCCCACAAAAACCCCACAAAAATCCTAGCCCCACTTCCCCTCCCCTCCTTAAGGCTTGGAAATTAAATCTGATGTACAGAGTGTACTACAGATTAAGCATTAATATAACAAATTCTGATTTATGTTAGAGTGGTAAGCATACACTGTATTCCCCAAGGATCAATCTTCAAATTATATGGACTGTTGTAGTTGTTGCTAACCACAAGAGGTGGGAGAAAAAAAAGAGAAACCATTTTTACTAACTAATTCTTTCCACTCTCCAAAAGGTATCAAAGGCTTTTCCTCCTTAGCACCAAAGAGAAAATGAAATGCATTTGTTTATCTGAGCATCTACTTTGCTGCAATCAGAATGTGGAAAGGCATAATTTTAAACTCTTCTACAAATGCAAGTGCAGCTTGATTAATCAATTCTGAAAGTCATATTTTAAGGCATTTTTTTGTTCTGATGTGTCAAGCTGAGGTTTAAAAGATGCTGTGGCATTCACAACATTGTCAATAATGACTGTTTTTTTCAAATGGCATTAAGGAATTTACTATGGACGTACAAGTAAACTATACAGAAAATATTTGCACTGCATTCTATACATATAGTATATTAACTGCACACAGAACATCTACTCAGTTTGAAATGTAATTTCTTAAGTCTGTTAAGTTTGTGTTGTATTTCTCACTCTATAAAGAATATATTTCAGAATTGATCCAATGTAAAATGGAAATATTTGGCAAATTAAAACCCCAAGTCCATATGAACTAACATCAAAAGTGACTCCATTTTGATAAAGCAAAAAAGAACTTTATTCCATACAGTAAATATATTTTACATAATGCCATTTGTAAAGTTACTTTAAGAAAATGTTGCCATGTTTATTTTAAAAGCTCAAAATGAGCATGACTAAATATGTGGAGTTTCCTTACTTCAAAATTCCATTACCACCACCCAAAGCCACAACTCAGGACACCCATCGATCCATTCTGTCAATCCAACCCTACACCCAAACCATCAGCCTCTTATCAATAACAAAACACTCTACAAGAGAGCATCTCTGAGCAAATCACTGCCAATTCTCTATGGCAGAATATCACAGGAAGTTCCCGAGGACTGATTTTCAAATGGAACCATCACCCAGGAGTCATTTTTAGGAAGTCATTTTAACGTCTAAAATTATCCTAAGCGTCTCAGATTTGAAAAAAAAATTTAAGGACAAAAAAACAGATATTTGTTACTACAGTACTTAAGACACATTTGTGAGACAATTCAATTCTCTCTCCCAGAATCTGGATAGGCACACAAAACACAGAGGAAGAAAGTTTCCATCTATGGCCCCAAAGGGGGAGGACACATTTATTTATGAACAACACTCCCTAAGGGTAAATATTTCTCTCCCTCTTTAAAACTTCAAACCGCTTACAACCGACCATATTAAGATATTCAAATTTGCTTAAGCACTTATCCATGGGACTTCTAGATTTTTTTAAAAAGCAGCTGTTACAAACCGAACACTTCCAGATTACTGAGAGATGTGGATTTTTGTCTATTAGAAACTAGACAGGCCACAAACTCTCAAGGAGTCTGACATTTATTATCGTTTCAGACAATACAGTCTAACCAGTCCTCTTATTATGCCACCTAATCAGACCTAAGCTAATTTAACAATCACTTTAAGAAGCTAAAAGTAGAAAAGTAAAAGCAAAATGATGACTGATTTAGATTAAGAAAAAAATGTAAAATTTGGTATGCTGAAACATACATTTTAATTGGTGGTAAATCTAAGACAAATTGATGTACTGTTCTGAAACAACTAAGACTGCATATTCAACACTAAGAAGGCTTCAAAATAATGAAATAAGAATATCAAAGTCAAACCCAATATGCCCTCAATGAAGGGAAAGTAACAAACATTCAGCTCTACATAGATCAGAAACAATAAGTATTATTTAACCTTAAAAAAAAATCTATAAAATTCAAAGTGGTTTGCCCTCACTTTCATAACCAGTCAGAAACAAGAAATGCATATTATACCTGTCTGAAATATTTCATCAAGTCTTTCTGCCACCTTCTGTGGGAGGCCTGCCTCTATCAGTGTCTTGTAGTGTTCTGTGTGAGTTACACTGGAAGTATCCATTGGTTCTTCCTCTTCTTTTAACTGTACCGCATTACCATTCACCTGATTAGCCATTTTATTATGCTGCTGGAAAAAATTCAGGAGCTATATTACATTAAGCCAGAAATAACTAGTTTGTAGGACAATGCATGATTTATCTAAACTAATTTGTATACATGCTGCTAATAAACTCTATCAAAATAATATTATATGCCTTTTTGTGATGTATCTGACCTAAATTTGCAACAATAATCCTGTAAAACCATAGGAAATGTACATGGAAGCATTAGATCTTTAAGGAACTTCATGTACACAGGGTTAAAAAAAAGGCTTGAATTTACTGAAGGTAGAATTGCTGATTAACAAAAGCAGCTGTTGTGTCCTGACAAGCATATCAACAAATCACCACAAAATCCTAAAAAGCCCATCAGCTCTCAATTCTTACACAGTTTTTAAAAGTTTGATTTAGAAACAGAATGAACACCCACAGACCACTTAATCAAGGTTTAAGGACTTTCAAATTTTCCTAGTTCTGCTTCAAATCTAGGATAGGTGTGAGATAAATGCACTGCTGTCTCTACTTCAACATGCTGGTGGTTTGGGTTTTCTCCGCCTCACTTAAAAAAAAAAAACACAACTTGACATTAATTTTTGTTCTAAAATTAATTTGCTATTCCCATTCACAGATTTAAAAGAAAAAATGACCAAGTTTAAAAGCTAAACGATTGTTTTAAGTCCACGTAAAATACGAAGTGAGCTACAATTGAGGGTGCGTCTTTAAAAAAAAAAAAAATCATGAGTATATACTGAATTTTTCATATCAGTAAAATAAAGCTGCAAAAACGTATCGAAGAATAGACAGCTAACTTCTTCCAAATAGTTTCAACAAACATTACCCAATGAGGGTAAACTTAGGTCAGATGTCCCAGATTAACCTACCCAAATTATTTTGTATGTTCAACCTGTATATAACACTGAAATGGACCAACTCCCTGAAGAGAGAGATTAGATAATAAAACCATACAAGGCCAGTCTCTATACTGCCTCAAAAGACAGGGAATTAAAGTGCACTTGTCTGTGGTGAATGTGATGAAGATAATAAGCAGCAGAATAAAGACACTGCAACAAATACTGAAATAGAGGACATGAAGGTGGATCTCAAGAAGAAGCCTACTTTTCTTGATGAACCTCAAGGTACCTAATCAGCTATAAAGAAAATACAAGCTTCCTAAAAAGCACTAAAACCCGCAAGATAACCACACTTCCAGATTGCTTACAACCACTGTGCAAATGCACCAGGTGCAGTTTTCTGACCTAAAACAACTTCTTTTCATTTCAAAGTCCACTGATATTTGGCTGAAGTTAATGAAAAAGGAAGACCAAGGGGAACGAGGTAATAGAGAGCAGGAAGAGAGGAAAATGCAGAAAGGGTTATTCTGAAAATAAGATAAGTATCATGACTTCTTATGATTACAAAACATTAAGACCTGATAGCCCACCAAGGTCTACACAGACGCAGACTCTCGTTAAACTTTGGGTGGAGAAATGTTTCTCAAGGCAAGCCTCAAATTCTGATGAATTGGCAAAAACGAAAACATTCAAACTGGCACACTTTTCATCAAGAAACTACTTACAGTGTAAGATGAATACGTTTACTGATTAATACAACCTATTTCTATAAAGATGCACTCTAAAGTCCAAAATCTCTATAGTTCTGTTTTCCCATGCTCCCCCACCCCCAAATACAACCATAAGATCATAAGAACTCAAAAGTTCTCAGTATCACAAGACCCTTAACAGTATTGCACCTGGGAATACTATTAGTCACAGAAAGAAAGCAAATTTTTAACAGGAAAGTTCAATGAACATCTGCTAAGGTGGTATTTTTTTTTTAAGTATGTGTAAAGCAAAAAGACAAGTTGTGTATTAAGCACAAGACAGAAATATTTATGACTACCATTTCATTGCAAAGGCTCTCCTACAAGTTGATTCTAAAATTGGTTGATATTGTCAAAAAGTTTGTAAACTTTAACAAAAAAAAGTAAAATAATTAGATTCCAGAAAATAAAACCTTTCAGATCAAGGAAAACCTCTCTCTTCGAGCCAAATACAATGTGCTCATTTTTAAAAAAGTCTTTTATGTCATATGAGACCGTTTAAAACTTGTGTCAATTCAACACAATGCCACACAGCCAAACCATATTTCTGGATGCAGCAAATACACTGTGACTGGAGTCATTTGATCTAAGCATTTTTGCAAAAAATAGACATTTAAATAAGATTTTAAAGGGCTGCTGGGAGATTTGGGAAGTCAGCACTAGCCCCTCCCTGACTTTTTCTGAACATCTCTGTGCAAATTCTTCATATTAAGAGACGGGCTTTAAAAGAACCAACGAAATGAAAACTAACGGGTATCTCAGGGGTTAGGAGTGTCAAAGCCCTTATCCTACGACTGACTCATGAGACATAAATTCAGCCTCTTAAGGACAGCAAAAATCCAGTGTGAAAGGACTGAGCTTTTCAAGAACCCCTTGGCCTTAAGTTTTACATTTTGGCAACACAGTTACTACCGTATAAGAAAAAGAATCGCCTTTCCAATTTAGTGCGCCTAAGACATTCTTAGAATTATGTATCTCAGGCGCCGCTTGAAGCCTAAGTTTCATGGCCTCTAGTAGTCATTTTTTCCTTCAAATCTCGGCTCGCAGCATGCAGAGTGGGGGAGGGGAGGGAGGCTTCCTACACAAATCGGCCCTCGGGCTCCAGCTCGCACAAAAGTTTTCTCCCGGCTCAGGTAACCCCGGGTTTGCATCCCGCCCTCTGCCCACCCCACCCCCTCATGCCCGTCCCGTTCAGCAACACATCCCACTCGTGGCTAGGCCGGCCGAGACGACAGCGAAGCGGCTCCAGAGGAGAGAAGCGAAGGGGGCCGCGGGCGTCTGAGGCCGCGGGCCGGGCCGGCCGCGTGGAGCAGCGGGCGGAGGCGGGAAAAACACGGCAGTCCCCGGCAGGCCGCGCGGACGGTGCCCGGCGGGCAGGACCGCGGACCGGGGGCTGGAGGGGCGGGGGGAGGATGAGCAAGGGCGAGGAGGCGCCTCGGCGGGGCTAGGCCCTCCGCTGCGCGGCCGGACGAGGCCGAAGCCGCCCCCAGCCCATCCCCACCCCCACCCTAGGGCCTCGGAGCGAAAACGAAACTGGGGCCAAGGCGCCGAGCCCGGGATGGGCCCGGTCGGGTCGGATCGGGGCTCCCGGCCCCTCCCCCCACGGGCCGGCGCGAGACTCACCAGGGCAGAGCTGGGGCCGCCGGCCGGGCCCGTGAGAATCAGCGCGAGGCGCTTTGAAAACGACTAGAAATGGCGCGCGCGCCACCCCCTCCCCCCCTCATGGACAGAGATGCGATCCCGGCAGCACGCGGGGTTTCCCGGAACTGCTTCCAGGGACTCCGAGCGGCCGGGCAATCACCTCGCGCGGCGGCCTGAAAGGCGGCTCGGGCGTCCAATAGTAGCGAAAGAAGCGGCTCACGCTGGACGACAAGGGAGCCAATCGATGAAGTCGTCGGCTGAGCCAATGAGGGAACTCAGCGCCGCCGGCTGGGGCGCCTCCGGGGCGGGGGCAGGAACACAAAGGGGTCTGTGGTGGAGCCCCGGGTAGAGGCGAGGCTGCGGGGCACCAGGCCTTGAGAGGCCGAGGCTCTTCGCCCCTCGTCCGCCGCCCATACGAGACCGAAAAGCTAGGTCTCACGCCGCGTGGCTGCCTCCGGAACCCCGCCCCCCAGTGCCCGCACCGGCCTCGCTCCTCCGCGGCCCTCCCGCCCCTTCGCCGGCGCCGCGGCGTCCCTAATCCCCTCTCGCGCCGGCGCCGCCGCCGCCGCCGGCGTTCGCCCCAGACACGCCCACCGCCACGCGGTCGGGCCTCCTTCTGGGTCATCTTTTGGGTTCGGGTTGGAACACGTTTTAAGACTGATTTGGCTGGCCGTCTGGATGGAGAATTTAACGGAGAAAGTCATCTCTTGGGAAGATCGGAAAACTGCCCCCTGGCTCCCTGCTACACATCGTTGGGACAGCTCAGAACGTGAGGGAAATCGCAAAAGTTGGCACCATTCAAGAGCACGGTTAACTAAAAAATGCTAGAGCAGGGACCTTTTCCCACAGAGTTTGAAGCTACTTTTTATGAAGAAGTAAGGCAGATCTATGCATCTGCGAAGCCAAAAGAGCCGTGCAGGGAAAAGGGCTAAGTCCCAAAGGAAGCGAATTCCTGTTATTCCTAAACCGATTTTTCATCCTCCACCCTTACTGGTTTGTTTCCTGTCCTTGCCTTAGTCCAAACCTCTCTCCTCCCACAATCTTCCCAGCTCACTTCTGTAGAGCCAGCTCTTCCCTACCCCAACATCCAATGCCCTACCCCTCTTAGGGACTGGAGAAGGTCAAGCAGTGGTCTACAGAATTTCCAGATAACACTGGAGGATCATTTAAGTTTCCCAGAACCTATCAGCCCAAAATTAATTATTAAAAAGGTACTATGGGGGCGCCTGCATGGCGCAGTTGGTTAGGCATCTTGGTTTGGGCTCAGGTGGTGATCTAGGTGGTGGGATAGAACCCTGCCTTGGGCTCTGCGCTCAGCGGGGAGTCTGCTTGAGATGCTCTCTCTTACTCTCCCTCTGCCCCTCCTGTTCCTGCTCTCGCTCTCTCTTTCTCAAATAAATAAATGAATCTTTAAAAAAAAATACAACCTACTATGTGCCCAGTACTGAGCTGAATGTCTCAATGGATCCAAGTTTTGTATCACAGGTTGTGAAACTTACACAAATGCTGGGATCTTTTCGAGAAAATATAAAATGATAAATACAAATTGAGGAACAGAATCTTAGAAGGGCATGGTAAAAGTGAGAGACCTCAAGCCTTAAACTTTATTAGCCTCTAGCTCAAGGGTTCTTAACATTTTTAGTGCTATTTGGTAAGGGCTATGGATCTCTTCTAGATTTTAAAATAAAATAGCATTACAAAAGAAACTTTATATTGAAATACAACTAGGAAATATATATATAATTTTGGCAGAGAGAACAAGCAGGGGGAGGCAGGCAGAGGGAGAAGCAGCCCCCCCCACCAGGGGCAAGGAGCCCGATATGAGGCTTGATACCAGGACCCCTTGGTTAACAACCTGAGCCACCCAGGTGTCCCAGGAAATATATATATATATTTAAAGATTTTATTTATTCATTTGAGAGAGAGATTTAGAGAACGAGTGGGAGGAGGGGCAGAGGGAGAAGCAGGCTCCCCACTGAGCAGGGAGCCAGAGCGGGACTTGATCCCAGGACCCTGGGATCATGACCTGAGCCAAAGGCAGACGCTTAACTGACTGAGCCACCCAGCCACCCAGGCACCCTAGGAAATATATTTTAAGAACAAATTTGTGATATAAATCTGTTTTTCTTTAAGACATTAAATATCAAGATCTTGCAGCAGGTCAAATAACTACTGAAAGTTTAAAGTGGAGATGAGAAGATATTCAAGAAGTCCATGATAACTATAATGTGATATGAAAATGCCTTTGATTTCTATTGGTGACAGAATGAAAAGTACTGCTAATTCTACTGTGGTTTGTTGCTTGCATTCACAATGGGGGAAAATGCTAAGTTTCAGTTGGACATTTCCTGAAAATAAAGATGTTATTTGGCGGGTGGGCGCCTCAGTGGCTCAGTTAAGCCTCTGACTTTGGCTCAGGTCATGATCTTGGGGTCCTGGAATGGAGCCCTGCCTCAGACTCCTGGCTCAGCAGAGAGTCTGCTTCTCCCTCTCCCTCTGCCCCTCCCCCTGCTTATGCGCATGAGCACTCTCTCTCTCTCTCAAATATACAAATAAAATCTTTTAAAAAAATGTTGCTTTTTTCCATCCAACTCGAAGGACCATGTACTTTGATCCGGAGACTCTTTTAAATCCACTGACCACAGGATTAGAAACCCTGGGCTGGATACCATAATTAAAGTGATTCCATCACCCAATATTTTCTGGGATGACATTTCAAGTATTTTGGATATAGTCCTCAGAAGTATACTCCACCTTTTCAAACCATTTATCATGATTTTTTATATTATGGAAAATATGGTCATTGGAGCTTTGCATTTCCAAAAAAAAATGTGTGTGTGTGTGTGTGTGTGAATTTGATATTCCACAAATATGTATCATGTGCCCTCTGCAGACAAATCACTGTGTTAAAAGTAGGGAATAGGAGCACCTGGGTGGCTCAGTTGTTAAGCGTCTGCCTTCGGCTCGGGTCATGATTCCGGGGTCCTGGGATCGAGCCCCGCATCAGGCTCCCTGCTCGGCGGGAAGCCTGCTTCTCCCTCTCCCACTCCCCCTGCTTGTGTTCCCTCTCTCGCTGTCTATCTCTCTGTCAAAATAAATAA